CATGCGCTTTGCATTCCGTTGTGTTTAACGTTCTTAATAGTTTGAAGTGAAACTACTGATTGTAGTCTACATCTGTACGAGTTCCAGAACTGACAAGTGTTTCTTTTGGTAAAATAAATTTTATCAAGCTATCATCGGCTCCTGTGTGCATTCAGTCTAACCTGTACGCACGCAACAATATTAAGAATCTCTGTTTCCTTATAATTGCTGTGTAACTAATCATTTTGAAAACTCACATAAATGAATCACAACACAGAATAGAATTCTAACAAATTATTAAAAAAAAAAAAAAAAAAAAAAAAAAAAAAAAAAACACGAGCTTTTACGTTCTGATAATAAATTCGTTATTTTGCAAATGCAGTGCTTTTTAGCTGCAGATGAAAAGCGAATTTAATATTTAAAGCATTTAAAAAATGGAAAATAATCTTAAATTTGCAGAACGCTATGATTAACGTTCTAATGTGTTCACTCGCACATTGCAATGAAGTTCTGATTAATAAGTCAGTAATAAATTTGATTAAATTAATAAAAATGATTATCTAAATTGAGAATTAGGTTAAAAACAGCAATAACGGAATTATATGGAGAAAATGTCATCAAATAGCGTTTGTTAGATCCTTAATAGTGCAATGCATGTCAGATGATAAAGAATACTTTAATGGATGAATGAAAAAGTTTTTCTTTCTTTCTTTCTTTTTTTTTTTTTTTTAATTGAATCTCCCAGTTTAAAGAAGGGGATGACGAATCCAGAATGCGTTTGGTGGAAAAAGAATAAACGCATGCTCTTGATTTTCTGCCTTCAAGTGAACTTTATTCGCTCTAATGGAGCCCGTTAAAACTGCAAAAGAATTAGGTTTTATCTGTTTCTTTTAAAATGGCTTGCGTATTGAAGCCAGAAGATATTTGTAAAACAGAAAACGCATTTTTGGCCCTTTTTCTCATTTTCAAACTGGAAATTCAGCTCCAGTTCTTTTTAGTAATTTGAAACCAATTTTTGTTGACTTAAACCCCTTAAACCCGCAGCAGAAACTGATGATGAAGAAACAGAATGATAGTACAGACATGGCATCATCCTTTCCAGTTAATTAGTTTTAGAGATGTTTACCAGCGCAGTAGCTGCACTTGATAAATGTGCAACGACGAGAAATGACAATCATTAGCCTTAGAATGGAACAGCCTTTCCCCTCCCGCCCGAAATGAAAAGAAAAAAGAAATCTAATGATTCACGCTTGGATTGTGGACATTGATTCAGATATGAAATATAAATATTTTTTCTGCGTTGTAATTGGGAATAAATGTATAGAACTGTTTTGAGCTAATACATTTAAATATTTTATCGGCACAACTAAAGTCATAATGAGAAGTACTTTTAATTAATGAGTTCTTATGAAATATATCTGTCTGGAGCATCATGCAAAGAAAGATCGCCAATTACGTAATTACAGTTTAATTAACAAAATCAAGCAGTATCAATTTAAGATGAAACTGAGTGTACTTTTGTTATAAAATGCTGCTTTTTTTAAGATTAAAATTATAATATTATAAATTGTTGAGGTGTTTTATTAGCAAATTTGTAACAAATATTCTGCAGTTGTAACGTAACTAATTCAGGAATTATGGGCAACTAAAAACTGCCCGTTTTTTATTCTTTCTGTACAAGCTTCCGTGTATTACTGTAAATGAATGCAAGAATGTATAACAACATGCTATTTTCGTCTGTTCTTACGCTTCTAAGAAACAAACTTTAATGTAGGAATAGAATTACAAACTTTAACTTTATTTAGGAACATATTTTCTTGAATTCAAGGCAAGTTAAAATTGCGTTATATTTCCGTATATAAGATGAGTATTTTCAGCAAACGTTTTGCTATTAAAGTTTGGCGGTCGGTTTGTGTACTCCTATAAAATGATTTACAAATAATGTATCACAACAACAATGACCCCCCTCCCCCCAAAAAAATAATATCATTTCAATTTTATTTCATCTTATTATACGTTAATCAAATTTCTTTGCATCAGTATTCGACTGGCAAATTACCAGCCATTCTCGGAAGTCAGTCTTTGCTGGAGTTTGCCTCCAGCAGAAAGCATTAATTTATGCTATTTATTAACATCATTCTTGATTTAACCAGAAACATCCAGGATAATATTATCCGTCTTTTAGATAACAGCATCTTTAGTTGCGCGTATAGCATTGTTTAGCAAAAGTAAGAGCATTTATTTTAAAACCAACAGAAAACTCTTTTTATTTTATTCCATTTTTGTTGGGGGGGAGCATTTTTTACTATCAATCAGCTGTATTAAGTTTGTTTAGATGGAAAATTTACTGTAACAAACTATCAGAATAAAGCAAAATTTCTAGGGGAAATATAAAAAGGAAAAGAAAATGAGTGGGATAACAGCAGCTGTAGCAGACGATATCACAATATTTAGGAATTGTTTTATTCTCAAACAGTACGTTTTATTCTCAATTGTACATAATCTTGATTATATAAATATCGCTAACTGGTAAATATAAATATCCAATTATTAATATTTCATTGACTTCCATCTAAATACAAGGATAATATAAATAAAAAACATTGCTTTTGCTGTTTGGGAGTGTGTTCTTGTTCTGAATGCTGAACCTATTGAACTTATTTAAATTAAACTTTCAGTATGACCCCAGTTATTCGTTAGTGTATTGTATTTCTATACCTAAACATGCACGTACCATTAGCGTGAAGTTTAGCCATTCTTGTTATTTAAGATCGTCCAGTAAGTAGTCTGTCATGTAAATTATTCCAATAAATATGAATGAAATCACATTTATTGCAACGGATATGTAACCCTAGATGAAAGGGTCTTAAAAGTTATTTTCGTAGCCGCAGCACGAGAGAGCTATAACTTGCCAACTACGAGTAATTTATACCATTTTAAGTGCTGAGTTACAGAATGACTGCCCTATCCTTATTCTTGCCCACTAGGGTGCAACGAAAGGAAATTTATTGACCGGAATAATATCTTATTAATTCTCCGGGAATCTGCGAGTTTCATGACCCTTGTCACGCAAGTCCCCTGCTTCGCTTCCCAAGAGGGAGGACCGTGAACTCAGATACTCTCTGTCGTTTGCCATCCACCCAGAAGGTTATTTTTGGTGTCTCAGAAAAATCGTTTCGAGTTACATGTTTTGTGGAATAAATAAATCTCCTCTCTCCCTGCGGTTAGAATTTCGGAAAAGGCACTCTGAAAATACCCCAAAAAGCTGAGGACAACTGATTCATTAAGACTTCGTTTCTTCAAATGGTTTATTCAGTTTCAGTCTGTGCGTTTCATCAACAGGAACTGGGTGATAGCCCTGAACAGGCCTGCTATATACACAGCGCGTCTACAAAAAAGCTAGGATTAATTCTTTTTAACAAATTCCAGCTAAACCTGTCAGCGATAATTGACAGCATTTATTGGCGTAGCATCTCGACTTGTTTTTCCTAAAATATCGCTTGCTTACGGACAGAATTTCCATGCAGTTAAGCTTTTTGCTTTAATCCGGTGAACATCTGAAGTCATGGATTCGAAAACTGAGCAAAGAATAGATAGAAATAAAGTTTTACTTCAAAAATAAAATTAATCTTGATTTTTCTTTTCAATCAAATTGGCTATTGGAGATAAAATGTAGTGCTTTGTTTATGATTTAAGACAAAACGGCAGTTATCCGCTTCGGCTGCAGCACTTTCACCACGGCCAGAAAACTTTGGCTTTAAAAATCTCGAGTAAAATCTATGTTTTGTTGATTTGGCCTTAAAAATCTTGAGTAAAATCTATGTTTTGTTGATTCACCCCCCTTTTTTTGCTTGCTTGATTGATTGATTAGAAATAATTAATTCATAAGGAATTCTTTTTTAGGTAGAGAAACATTACATGCAGAATTCAGATATGTTAAATATTTCGATTTCAAATGAGATTTTTTGTTTAATGATACAGTTAATGTGGTTTAATTATGATCACGTTTGTCCACAGCTATTTTGCTAACATTAAACAATGATAAAAAGTGTCCTTCAAAATAGCAATGGAATTTAGCAGATTGGATATAAATACGGCAAGAAACATATAAACAGGAACATTGACAGCATTTTAATAAAGAAAATCAAAGAATTTATTTATGAACTATTCATAACGTTTCTAGAAATTATTTGACCGATGCTGCACCCCTAATCTTAATACTCGGAGGGTGCTCCTTATATCAGCATTTATAGGAAATTCGCCGATTTCGTCTTTACGTTCTTCAGAAAGTTTATTACATGATGTGCTTCGATTTGTTTCAGAAAGCTCCTGGCAGATATATTCTGACATCTTCTTCTGTATGAAGAATAGAGAGACCTGTAGCTGATCGGTTTTTTTTGGGGGGGGGATTCTTTTGGTTCTTTTGAATTGGACTTCCACAGATTAAGCAAAAAGTTGCAAGATTGCTTTTTTGCTTAATTTTGAATGGTAGTCTGAAAGTGAAGCACATTGGTGACTTAACCCCATACTTGGTGACATATTTTAGTTATTTAGAAATTTTAAAAATTTATTTATAGCAATATGTTTTCCATGTTTTCATGTACAAATGGGCGGGATTTTTAAACGTTTTTATTCTTTCCTCAAATGAGGTCAAATTTCAGCTGAAAGCTCCGTTCCAAATTTTACACAAAACAATTATCATTTTTTTTTTCCTTCGGTGAATTTTAACATTTTTGTGAGTAACATAATCGAAAATCCTTGAAATCTTTGATATTTTATTTTTAAAGAAAATATCTGCTGGCTGTATTTTAATGTCATCCTCGTTATAAAAATTTGCCTCTGAACTACTTTAGATCTGAGAATGATGCTACGATACATTTAGGTGTGTGCTAGACACACCTAACCTGATACATTTTTACACAAGAAACACCTAACCTGATACATTTTTACACAAGACACACCTAACCTGATACATTTTTTAATGTATAAATTAATCAATCAGCTCGTTTTTGTCGTTTTAGGTTCAAGAGCTTCAACAGCAAGTGGCAACCCTCACAGACCATCAAGTGAATACAGACCACAGATACAACAAAGTGAAGCAGGAGAATGCCGCTTTGCAGAACAAGTAAGAATAAGATGTAAATTATACAAAAACGCGTTAAATTTAGAAAAAATTATAACAAAAATGAAAATTAAATACATTTCTTATCAATCATTTATCATCCTTGGCTTCACAGTATCGTTGTACAACAGAAATAAGAAAGTAATCTGTTAAATAAAGGTGGAGAGAGAAATGAAAAATGCAATTCTGCATTTAATTGCTTAAAAACAGATGGATAGTGAGATTTCAAATTACACTGCAGGTCGTCAAAATTGTTGCAGCGGGAGGAAAAGCAGTTAGTTCAATCATTTTACAAATACATTATTACATTACCAATAGTCATGGTACTTCAACCATCAATCCAGATACAGGGCTGTTATGACGATGAAAGGTTTCAGTGTTCATTTTTTACCCCGGTATCTCCATTACACCGGTGCCGCCATTGATATGCTGTAAGTCCCCCCTCCAAAAAAAATATTAAGAAAAGATGACATCATGCAATTGATACCTCTGTGTGCGTTGTTGAATACACCATCGTAGGGCCTGATTCCTGCGCTGTAGCGACAGTATAAGCCGGAGTAATTATCGCCTTGTTGACAATCCATGGCAGTGTAGACCTAGTCTCACTGTACGTGCAGATACGTGCTGCTGTGGTGAGTGACTGAGTGCACCGCTATGATGGCTTCCAACCACGGACATGAACCAAACGGAATTATATACCATCACGGCGGGGAAGACTCCAAAGTAACAAGGTTGAATATTACATACTAATAAAAGTTTTTACATATTGATAACTGCGGGCACTAAGCGTTATTCTGGTTATCTGCTTTAAGTTCTGAACATTTGAAACATAATATTATTCACGGTTGTTTCTGCTTAGGCAGTGTCTTGAGATTTTCTCTATTTTATCAAGGGCTATTCTGTTTTTGAGTGTGTTAAACGTCCGCATTGCCCAGGCACAGTCCGCTGGTTTCTTCAAGTGCCAGGTATGTACACAATGGAAGTAATAATGGTCCGTATCGCCTTCCTCTCCACATTCGCAGAAAGGACTATCCCTAAGTCTGAACCTGTTCAGGTATACTGGGAATGGTCCATAACCTGTCAAGAACTGTGTTAGGCTAGCACAGTTGGTCTTTATTTCCATGTTAACTTTTGGCAGTAAGCGAAATGTCCTTCGTCCTACCTCTGCCTCTGCCTCTGTCACTTGCTGCTGTCTAACATACTCATTTTCCTGACCTATTGAACATGATATGTTTACACCATACTTAACAGCAATGCAGACATGATATCTGTTATTTCGGGCATTGGTCTCCAGGTGTGCATGTTACGGTATGTGGTCTTCCTAAACCCATCGACTGCAAATTCTCATTAGTCACTGAATCTCGGCAAACGTGGACAACAGTTGTACGATACGATAACTTGTTTTTCTGGTAGATTTATATAATGTGAAATTCTGAATATTTGCATATCCGAGAATGTTAGACCTTTCATGTAGGTCTCAGGTTTATTGCGCATTTCCTTCATGCTGTAGCAATATATTGACCAGCAGTGTAGAATCGTTCATAAAAGTGATACATTTTAATCAGTGTAGAGAAATATGAAAATTATATAAGAGATATTCAAAGTATTTGCTTGAATCTAGATTTTAATCATACACACATTTATTTGGTTAGTAATACCAGAAGAGGTTTGGTGGTAGGATATCTAATCCTTTGTTCAAAATATATACCCTGGAAGTACGAGATGGACGAAGAAACGTCATGTGAACTACTGAATATCAGACATTCGTCATAATAATCGTCAAAGCGGTTTCCCCCTGTGTTAAGTTGAATCGTCCCAGTCCTTCCATTGTGAAAACCTGAAGTGGTAGATATGATGGAATTTCTTATTTTAATTTTAATTTATTTGATAAGTGAACCTGAGCACAGACTTAAATAAAACGGTAGCTTAAGAGGTTGTGTAATCTTTGTTCAAATTCCCATTGTGGACTGAATGGAATTCTGGGGATGTATGGCAAAGTATCAACCCTGGTGGTTTCCTCTGCCTCTCTTAAATATTTTCCTTTTTTGGTCGGGGCCATAAAATCAGTCATTGGCGACCCCATGGAGGACAGCCCTTTGGTTCGGTTTACGAGAATTTTCGAAGAAGCGAACACGTCCTTTTGGTGGAGTTCAGTCGTGTCTGTCGTCTGGAGTGCGATTTTAGATAGCAGATAGGTATTCGATTGTGGTAGTGAACCTCGTCTAGCGAGCTGATTCGTGAGTTGATTATGCCACTGATGTATGGCAAGTTCGAAGTCTCTAAATAATTCGCAGGAGGGTTGCTAAAATGTCCGAGGTGGTGCAGTGAAGCTGAGCGCAGTAGTCCGTCTGGACGACGTAGCGAGTCATTGAGCGGTTGAGTTAGTTGGTCGTTGCATCGAGAGAGTCTTGTACTGTATCGCGAATTAGTGCATCGTCGAGTTTTGTCTTAGAATGTGCTGAGTCGAGAGTTATACTGTTATGTATTGTCGAGTGCATCGCGAGTTGTAGCAAGGAGAGTCTCGAGAGTACGTGGAGTTCCGAGAACGACCAAGCAGAGTCGGGAGCTGTAATCTGGTGCTTTGCAGTGAAGCTGTCTCCACCGTTATTACCTGACAGTGTGAAGGCTGTGTCGCTGAACGTGTCAGCGTGTTTATAACAGTTTGACGACTGTAAAAATGATTTTGGAGCTATCTGATTAATATTGGTAATAAAGTGTGTTTCGATACCTCATCAAGTGTCGTCGTTATTCACTCCAAATCTACGAACCGCGTACGAACTGGTGTCATGAGTGGGGTTTGAGGGTGAATGCCAGTGAGAAGACCAATGGAAGATCTATTAAGGCAGCTCGTGACTAAAGAGATAAAAGATGGAACTAATAAGAGATGGCAGCTGCTGCTTCCTCGAAACCAAATGCCTGATGTTCTGAAGGAAATACACAGCAGCTCAACAGGAGGGCATTTCGGCTGTATGAAGACACTAAACAAGGTCCGAAAGCGCTTCTTCTGGTGTTCGGCGAGAAACGATGTTGAGAAGTGGTGCCGATCTTGTGGTGATTGCGCAGCCAGGAAAGGACCGAAGGGACGTAGCCGAGGAAGGCTGCAGCGATACAATGTAGGAGCGCCTTTCCAGCGAATTGCCCACGACATACATGGACCTTTTCCTCGGACCACGGATGGCAACAAATACATCCTTGTTGTCATGGATTACTTTACAAAGTGGCTCAAAACTTACCCAGTTCCAGATCAAGAGGCTGTCACCACAGCTGAAGTTCTGTTACAGAATTGGGTGTCCAGATTTGGGACACCCCTCCAGATTTTCATTCCGACCAAGGCAGGAACTTCACTTCAGCTGTATTCAAGGGACTCTGCGATTTGTTGGAAATGAAGAAAACGCAGACAACCCCGCTACATCCGCAGTCTGATGGCATGATGGAGAGGTTTAACCGTACAATCCTGAACCACCTCTCGCTCTTGGTTTCTAAAAACCAAGAAGACTGGGATCGCAAGCTGCCTCTGTTCCTGCTTGCTTACCGTAGTGCCGTTCTACTCACAGAGTGACCTGCTCTTCGGGTCCGAATGGCCTGAGAAGTACAAGACCTCCAAAACAGTACACAGGTTTGCTCGAGAGCGGATCAACATCTCGACGGACAGGATGAAGAAGAGATACGACGCAGGAGCCACCAAACATCAATTCCAGAAAAACGACAAGGTTTGGCTGTGAAATCCAAGTCGTCGTAAGGGCGTTTCTCCCAAACTGCAGTCGCATTGGGATGGTCCCTATACAGTCCTTAACAGATTAAACGACGTTGTGATGCGGATCCGTAAATCCCCCAATTCCAAACCCAAAGTCGTTCATTATGACAGATTGGCCCAATACTATGGCCACGGTACTTAGTACTTCTCATTCTTAGGGGTACCCATAATTCTTGTGCATGAGTTTTCTCAGTTGTTGCGTTTTTCTTTTCTGACACCAGTCGTTACGTTATTTTCTTCCTTCACGTTCGTACGGGGTTCGTGTAGATTTGGAATGAGTAACGACGGCACTACTTGATGAAGTATCGAAACACACTTGATTGGCCAGTATTGTCAGGACAGCTCCAAAACACGTTTACAGTCGTCGATGAACTACTATAAACACGCTGACACGATCAGCGACACATCCTTTATGTTATCAGGCTATCACGGTGGAGACAGCTTCACTGCAAAGCACCGGAGTACAGCTCCCGACTCTGCTCGGTCGTTCTCGGAACTCCAACTCTCGAGACTCTCCACGCTACAACTCGCGATGCACTCGACGACACACAGAACACGGCTCTCGGCTCTTCGGTTCAGTCGTTCCCGGAGCTCAACACGCTCTCTCGACGATGCACTAACCGCGCTACACTAAGAGTAAACTCGACGACCCACTCGGCACTCGCTGCCCAGCTGTCAACTCGATCGACTCCGCAGGGATTGGCACACTAGACGAGACATCAACTCGATACTGACTAACTATCTCGCACTCCAGACGAAGCACACATACTGACTGCTGACCAGCAGGGTTTATATAGCTTTCGGCTTGTGTTCGAAAACATTCTGGGCTAAACCGGTAAGAATTCGTTCCAGAAGGTTCTCCATCCGTCCATGGCATATCACCAATTTTGTCGCCAAACGGGCGATTTCTTGCCAAATGTGGCAACCATGTGTTTCCCTTTCCATTTTATGGCAACCCTAAACTTGCTTTGCGGGAAAGCTATTTCACGGCGCCTGTACATTTCGTAACAATATGAGTGAAAGGGCAGCTCAAAGGAGTACAGGATGAATCTCTTGAAAACAGATTAGAATACCAACAACCATGGATCCTGTTATGAATTCCCAAATGTTATCATCGTTGATTTAGTAGCTCATGTCCTTACTTGCAAACAACCAAAACAATTATTGCAATCTAAAAAAAAAATATGTTCTAAGATTAGTAAACCGGGCGAGATGTCATGCATCGTGAACTTTTATCTTTGGTCGAGCA